TGTCAGACCCTTAATTGCATCCTGAATGGGAACTATTATGTGTAACAGAAAGCTGGAAACCAAAACCTATTCAAGGAGCCAGTAAAGCGTCTGTTCCAGGCCTTTGGCAGTGAGAAACAAGGGAAAGTTAGGGGCAATCATCTTAACCCCCCAGGCCTGCTGGCATCTCTGACTGGGAGGAGATTGTTGGGCCTTCTCTGTGCAGTGGCCTCTGGGTGGCAGGGAGCCAGCTCACACTTCTTACACCCCAGCCCGACTCCAGAGAACACACATTCTGGTATATCATAAAAGCACCTCTTCATAGTGAGGACAGGTCGGGTAAGAAGAGCCTCACAGGAGAAATAGGGAGGGAGTTCATTGTACTGGGTTTTTTGTTTTGTTTTGTTTTGTTTTGGTGGGGGGACGGTGGGTGGGGGGGAGCTTTTGGCTTTTGAGACAGGTGCTTTGAGACAGGTGCTTTGGTGCTTTGAGACAGTTCTCATTCTGAGGCTCTGGTCTTGAACTTGCAGCAATTCCCCCAAGTGCTGGGATTACGAGCTTGAGCCACAATACCTAGTCCTACCCAGATATTACTTCTACCACCACCTCCTCCTCCTCCTCCTTTTTTTCATTTTCAGGTTTACTCTTTGTTGTTTGTTTTAAATGGTAAAATACATTATTCTCGTCTTTCTCTTTGTTGTTTGTTTTAAATGGTAAAATACATTATTCTTGTCTTTAATTTAGTAGTTCTGTTCCAGCCCCATGTTGCTGTTACCAGAACTGTTAAGAGCCAGAGCCTGGGGAGCTGGAGAGATGCCTCAGTGGTTAAGAGCACTGGCTGTTCTTGCAGAGGACCCAGGTTCAGTTCCCAGCACCCACTTGTTGGCTACCACCTGTCTTATTCCAGTTGCAGGGTATTTAATACCCTCTTCTGGTTTCCGCTGGCATTGCATGCACGTGGCACAATTATATGCATACAGGCAAAACACATAAAATAAATAAATAAAAAGAGGGCTGGAGATATGGCTCAGTGATTAAAAGCACTGGTTATTCTTGCACAGGACCCGAGTTCAGTTCCCAGCACTCATGTGGTGCCTAACACCTGCCTGTTATTCCAGTTCCAGGGATCTGATGCCCTCTTCTGGCCTCCATAGGCATTGCGTGCACGTGGCACAAGAGACTGGGTCCTGTAGGTTAGCCAGCCATAGCCAGCTATCCTCAGTAGGCCAGTTAAAGAAACAAGAGCCCGGTGTGGTGGTGCACGCCTTTAATCCGAGCACTCGGGAGGCAGAGGCAGGCGGATCTCAGTGAGTTCATGGCCAGCCTGGTCTACATAGTGAATTCCAGGACAGCTGGAGCTACAGGGAGACCCTGTCTCAAAAAGACCAAAAAAAAAAAAAGAAAAGAAAAGAAAAGAAACAAGTAAGAATGGAGGGCAGAAAAATTTATTTGCTGTAGCCATATTGGGAAGAGGAACAAAGAAGTCCAGTGACTCCTCCCCAATCTTTGTCCTGACCTGAGGTTTAGGATTAAATAGAGCAAGGCATAAGCATACCTAAGCAGTCCTGGTCAAAGTGTGGGCTTGCCCATCATTGTCTTGGCTCCAGTCTCTCCTGCAAGGTAGTTTGCAAGTTGTCAGAACTGTGTAGTGAAGTCTCTTTTAGGAGGACAAGTTTGCCCTCTGGCTGGCACCAGGCTTCAGTCCCCTCTTTCTCCCATCAAGGGATTCTTGGGGTGGGTGAGGGGGATCTGATTTCTTGACAATAAATAATCTGATAGCCAAAGGGAGAGGCACAAGTGGCTTTAGAATATCTTCATTCCTGTGGGATTATTACATTACTTTTCCTTGATATGTGTGTTCATTGAAAGAAATTAACCATAGTAGTGCAAGCCTTTAATCCCAACACTCAGGACACAGAGGCAGGTGGATCTCTGTGAATTCAAGGCCAGCCCGGTCTACATAGCGAGTTCCAGGCCAGCTGAAGCTACAAGGGAGACCCTATCTCAAAAAGACGAAAACAAAAACCAACCAAAACAAAAAACCACCACTAGGGGGCACACAGATCCCATCATTACTCTGTACTTGTTAGTGTTATTTTAAAGATTCTTTTCAAAAGATAGGTTGCTCCTGTATTATTTTTAAAAATAAAATATGTGAGGCCAGGCATTGTGGCCCATACCTTTAATCCCAGCACTCAGGAGGCAGAGGCAGGTGAATTTCTGTGAGTTCGAGACCAGCCTGATCTGCATAGTGAGTTCCCAAGCCAGCTGGGGCTAACAGGGAGACCCTGCCTCAAAAAGACCCCCCCCCAAAAAAAACAAAAAAACCCAGCATGTGGCACACAGCCCTAGGAATCTCTGTGAGATTGAGGCCAGCTTGGTCCACATAGGGAGACCCTGTCCGAAAAAAGTAACCCATTCTCATGTTTCTTTTTAGAAGGGAATAAAGGATAAAAATTCAGAACGTGTGTGTGTGTGTGTGTGTGTGTGTGTGTGTGTGTGTGTGTGTGTAACTGGCCTCCATATCTGTGGTTCTATATCTAGTAATCATCTAAGTACTGAATGAACATATTCTAGAATAAAAATTGTGTCCCAGCTGTGCGTGGTGGCACATATTGTAAGCCCAGTACTTAGGATGCTGAGACAGGAAAATTGTAAGTTTAGGGCATCCTGGGCTAGAGACATGGGAAGACTGTCTCAAAGGGGAAAAGGGTGTACTGAATATACAGATTTTCTTGTCATCATTGTCTAAATAATATGGCATATAAATTATTACACAGCACTTAACATTGTGTTAGTAACCTACAGGTAGTTTAAACCATGCATAGGATACGTGCAAGTACTGTGTCATTTAGTATAAGGGACTTGTGATATCCTGGAAAGGAGTCTGGAGCCAGTCTCCACTGGATACTGAAAGATGTTTCATAGGCTATTTAGGCTATAAAGAATCCGTTTTTGAGGTACATAATTACTAATGGTCTTTGTTCATATGTGGGTCTTATCTAAAAATCTGACTCTAATTGTACAAATGCTTCATTTAGTTTATTGAGCTTTTAAAAACAGCTTTCCAGTAAGTATTTTAAAAGACAAGTATTTTAATTTTCCATAAATGATATTTGTCTTTCTTACTGCTTTTTTTGAAATTGAGAGCTATGTTTCATGCTGAATATTATTTTGCTTTTAAGTGAATATGTCTGATTATTGCTTTGCATTTGTGTTGCGTAATAAGAGAGATAAGAGAATGTAGGCACAGTTTAAAGCATATAATGTGCTGATCATTTTACTACAAAAGATGAGGGAAGCACAGAAGGAGAGGAGGCAGAATATCAGACTTAACCCAGTACAGCCCCCTTGCCCTTAGTTAAGACAGAAAAGTTAGGCTTTGTCAAGTAGTGGTTTCCCCTTCCCACATCTACCCGTGGTTTCACTTGGCTTCCTATAGCAACAGAACCTGATCTTTGCCTACCCATTGTTCAGAGCATCAATCCATGATAGTAATTGCATTGCTTTGTGTATAAACTGTGGACTAGAACTGCTAATTTTTTAGCCATTGAGGACCTTAAAGAATTCAGGGCTTCGTGAGAAGGCCTATAATCACAGCACTTGGAAGGCAGGGGCAGGAACATTAGGAGTTCAGTCCTCTTCCGCCACATAGTTGAGCTGGAGGCTGCACAGTGATACTGTATCTCAAAAACAAATAATTCATAATAAAGATTTGCTGACTTTTGAATTGAAGGACATAAAAACGGTACAATAAAATCTTCATTAGTATTTAGTTGGCTCTTCTGTGGTAGCTAGAAGTGGGCATGTGGTAACTAGCTACCCCCTTCCAAAAGGACTGTTGCTCTCCTAGCTTTGTGTGCTCTGGGCTCAGGGAGGCTACCACATTATTAAATTGTGACTACAGCCTCACCTCGTTGCCCTATTATCAGTATAGATAGCAGTCTTTGCGTTGAATCCTCAGCTGCCCCCGACTGCCCTGGAAGGTCTTGAGGGAACTGTTTGCTGGCTGATGGTTACTGGTTGCTGGCTGCCCATTCAGCTTGGAGTATGATAGCAGGTGTAGGGGATCATTGGTAGGTATATAAGGGATCTTGGGACTCTATGAAGATTAGTAATATCTTACTCAAATTCCCTGGAACTCACTGTGTACACCAGGCTGACCTTGAATTCACAGAGATCCGCCTGCCTCTGCCTCCCGAGTGCTGAACACCAAATTCTTTTAAAAGGAAAGAATAGCAAAAACATTCTGAAAAGAAAAAAGCAGATCATTTTAGGCATTCATGTTATGGATAGTGGGCTTGACATGCATGTACCATGCCTTTCAGAATATAGATGGATCTGACATGTAGCATAATTTGGATTCTTCCATATTATAACTAAGACCTTGATTTTCATTTATGAACATGTAATATTCGTATTAATTTTTTCTTGCTCCTTTTTGGCCCCCAAACCTCAAGCTATGGAAAAGTAGCTTCACCCTTGTGTGAAAGGCACGGTGTTGCCCTGGAAGCCCACTGTCTTCATGTTTGCCTGTGTATATCTTGTTACTTCTTTCTCCAGACCTCATCTCAAGCACATAAGGAGAGTGAACAGTGGTGAGGCATTCATCCTGGGCCACCTTTCCTTAATGTCACCAGCATATCTAGACTTAATATTAATGATAGAGCCTTGTATTGAGCCTCAGACTAAGAACTTGATTGCATTATCTCATTATTATGGATGAGCCAACTGAGATTTGGAGTTTGGCAGAAGGTCTGCCATAAGTAAATGGAGGTACTAGACTTTTGGGGATTGGGGGAGATGGTGAGGTGACATAGGATTCCATGCAGCCCAAACTTGTCTTAAACTTGCTGTGTAACCAAGAATAGCCTTGAACTCCTGATCCCCCTGCCACCACTTGTGTAGTGTTGGGATTTACAGGCATGCACTGCCATGCCAGCCCTTACCATTTGTTCTGCAGTATACTTCTGATTATTTGAAGGTAACCTTGGTTGTGTCATTTTTCCCCCTTTTCATAGGGCTTTTTGAAGAATGAAAAAGATAATGCCCTGCTATCTGCCATTGAAGAGTCCCGGAAAAGGGTAAGGCAAACAACCCAAAATGAAGACGCATAAAGTCGAGGGGCAGTGCTTGCCACTGAGCTCAGGTCCTGGATGATCTGCTTTGTCACGTAGCATGACTGTACCACATGTTTGTTTTTAATTTAAAAATTTTTTTTACACATTTATTTATTTTATGGGTAGGGAGCATGTGGAGGTCAGAGGACAACTTACTGGATTGTGAAGGATAGAGAACAGTTGCGAGGAGATTACCACGTGGGTTCTGGGGCTCAAACTCAGGGTTGGTGGCAGGCACCCTTACCTACCCACTGACCAGCCCTGTATCACCTTTAGTAGTAATAGTTTCTCAAGGCCTTTAAAAAAAAAAAAGTTTGGTGCTCCAAAGGATGGCAGACAAGTCAGCCAGAGCGGCCATTGTATGTTTGCCTACTTCTACCCCACGAAATGCTCTCAACATGAGATCAACATTGATCGATTTCTATAGCTGTTTCTGGATTCTTCCATCCTGGGGACACATGTTGATTGTTAGAAGGTAAAGCTTCCGTGAGACAGTGGAGTGGAGTCCCAAGCCCTATAAAATGTGCATATTTTGTAAATGCATTCTTGCAAGATGCTCAGATGTCATTTGCTAGCATGTGAGTTATCTCCATGTGTTTCTGACAAGGATCAAAACCTTTCTATAACATTCCAGTTTAGAGTAAGAGATTTCTTAAAGTACTGAGAGGTCTTTGGAGAAGAAGGAGAAAAGGTTAGCTGTTAGGTTGGAACTGGCTTTGAGAGAGTGGCTCCTAAAAGTATCCACCAACCTGCCCACAGTGGATCTCTGCAGAGGGAATTGGATGAAGGAGTGCTGTTTCTGTTTTGGTGTTTATTTACTTTATTGGATATCAAGTGAAATATATTTGTGTAATCTGAAAAATAGTAAAGTGAAAATGCTGCTTCTCTGTGTTGCCTTATTAGAGTACTCCACAAGGGTGAAAATCCTCAACAGGACTGATACAAGCCTGGGCTGTTGAGGAACTTGCCAACTCTAGTTTACAAGAAATGTTCCAAAGATGTTAAGTGACTGATATGGAAATGCCCTAAAATTTCATTAATTACATTACTGGCAATATGTACTTAGCCCTAGAAATGGAGAAATGCGTTTGGTTTAGGTCTGAAAACATTTTTAAAGGATTTTTTGTTCACATTCTTGAGTTTGTCAGCAAAATGAATTCTTCTGCTATAAAGCACCAGTGAAATTAAATTAGAACTCTTCAATGCCTCCAGGCCTTATTAATCCATTCACCCTGCAGAATGTGTTTCTGCAATTGGCAGTCTGCAAACATTGCACCATACTGAGACTAAACGTGCAGCCAGCCAAAACATTTAGTTGACATACCACAGCGCAAAATGTGTGCGTATGTATTTATGAGGGAGGCATTCCAGAGTTGGGAGCCAGCCTGAGAGGAGGCCTCTGACTTGTCTGGACGCTGGGAGATTGCTGCTGAGCAAGAATCATTTTCAAACAAAAATTATTAGAAAACTAGCAGCTTCCCGGCATTTTGGTGGTAATTTCATGTTTGAATAACTTGCCAATATCCTACTGAAATGCCAAGAAAACAAGCTACAAAGCCACAAATGTGTCCTAGCTTCTCCCATTTGATGCATCCCAGCAAAAACAGAGCAACATTATCAGAACATATGCAGTGTTCCTAAAAGCCCACAACAGCTCAGTAAGAATTGAGGGTGACGCCAAAGCGTACTGCCCTCTTCTCTTTAGGATGATGGAGTTCAAGAGCTCCCCACCTGTTCTTAATTCAGTTGCCCAGTTCGATCCCTGCCTTCTTTTCTTAACTATGTTCTAAGGGTACTACTTCCACACATAACAATAACAAGTGATTCAGATTTAATTTGTAATAATTTCCCACTGCTTTGTTATTTTCTATGGTTTAGTTTGCCTTCCTTTTGATTTTTTTTAAGTCTGCAGATTCCTTTCAAACTTCTCCCCTTACTCTTTCCTTAGTTTTCTTCTCTTGTCTGCCTCCCAGCTTGCCTCAGACCCTCACAGCCATTTTCTCTTAGTTCTTAGCTCTGTTGGTTCTTTTCTTTTCTTTAGTTACAATTCTTCAGTGATTCAGAATGGCATAAACAGAATAGGCCACAATTGGGCATTTGGGTAGTTTTCCCTGTGTATTTTTCAACACTGGCTAACTGGCTGACCTGCCCTGCCATCCATTCTGCCTGATTCTCAGTGAAAAGAGAAAAGGAGGAAAAGGCTGTTTTTAAAGTTGATGGTCTTCAGAATACATAGAGAAATGGTAACACTGTGCTACCCTTCTTCCTAATCACTGTGTATGTGTGCATGTGTACCCCCCCATTTTAACACTGTCCCAACACAACACATTTGTAGCAAGAGTGTATTTCATTTTTCTGAAAGTTCCCCACAGCTCATGCATGTGGATATTATCAGTATAAATTATCTGCATTGCAAGAAATAAAATAGGCATTACCGATATGCCCCAGGGCCACTCTTACTCTGTAGATGAGATAGCTTTCTGATAAGTGGACTGAAGCTGATGGGAAGCCTTGTCTGCTGATGACAGAATTGCAGGCTGAGCACAGCCATCTTTGAGTGTATCTAAGTTTTTCATTTCAGCCTTGGAGACTGTTTTGTCCTCTTCCCTTCCTCTCTGATTCCTGCTTCTCTCCCTTCTTCCTTCCTCTGCTTAGCCTCTTTCCACATTTCCGTCCTAGTACCTTTGTTCTGGTAGCTCCGTGCATTGACTCCCTCAGGGAGCAGTGGAGCTGGCAGATTTTTCACTGATGTTGAGTAGACTGGTAGGAACTTGAATCCCAGAAGACTGTTTTTTCTTTTCTTTCTTTTTTTATTTTTATTTTTTTTCCTTTTTTGGTCTTTCTGAGACACAGTCTCCCTGTAGCCCCAGCTGGCCTGGAACTCACTATGTAGACCAGGTTGGCGTTGAACTCACAGAGATCCGCCTGCCTCTGCCTCCTGAGTGCTGGGATTAAAGGTGTGCGCCACCATGCCCAGCTTTTAAAAAAAATTTATTAATTTTTAATGTTTTTGAGTGTATTGCTTGCATGTAGGTGGGCTCACCGGTGTTGTGCAGTGCCCGTGGAGGTCAGAAGAGGGCGTCAGATCCCCTGGAACTGGAGTTAATGGGAGGTATTAGCTGACATGTGGGTACTGGGAATTGAACCTGGGCCCTCTGCAAGAGCAGTTAGTGCTCTTAACTGAAATGCCAAGAAAACAACCTACAAACTGAGCCGTCTCTCCAGCCCCCAAGGCTCTTTTCCTTTTAGTGATTTTCTTCCTGTTACAAAAGTGTTAGTGTTTTTAAGAATAAAATCCCTAAAAGAATCTGTTGTTTTTGTATTGTTAAATCTGAAGATTCCACTGATCTTCTAATCCATTATTTTATGTACTGCAAAGAAAAGATAGTATGACATTCAGTCAGTGGTAATAAGCAGCCTAGTTCTGAGATCTTAAAAAGATAGTTGTCTTATAAGTACATAGAGAGATGCTCATCACCACCAATCATTAAGAAAAATGCAAATCAAAATGGCAGTGAACTACTGTCTGACACTCTTTTAAAAAACAAAACAAAACAGAAAAAGTTAAGTGTTCGTGAGAGCGTGGAAAAATTGGAACCTTTATGTACAATTGATAGGAAAGTAGTGGTATAACCTTTATGGAAACATGTAGGTTCCTCAGAAAACCAAAAATTGGACTACTTTATAATCCCAGCAGTTCTCCATCTGAATATATCCTTAGAAGAACGAAAGCTGGGACTTGAGATTTTTGTACACCCATGTTCTTAGCAGCGTTATATACTAACGGGAGGAAATTCTGTCACATCCTGCAACTTGGATGAACCTTGAGGACTGCTACATGAAAGAAGCCAATCACAGAAGACAAAAAACAGTATGGTTGTACTTCTGTGAGATAATTGTAGGATACTCAGAGACAGGAAGCAGAAGGGTGGGTGCCAGGGCCTAGGCAGAGAAAGAATTGGTGAGTTATTGGTGAATGAGTACACAGCTTTAGTTTTGCAAAAGAGTTCTCAGGATGGATGGTGGTGGTCATTGCACAGCAGCGTGAATGGACTCTGCCACTGAACTGTCCATTTAGAAATGGTAAATCTTGTTTTTCCCAGGATTTAAATTTTTAAAGGTGTCTTCAAATTAGTGAATTGGGTATGTTGTAAGCAGTTGTTGGCAAATTCATTAAAGGATAAATTTTATTTTTTATTTTTATTTTTTAAAATATTTTATCTTTTTAAATATTTTTATTTTATGTGTATGAGTGTATTGCCTACATGTATGTGAGTGCACCTGTGCTGTGCAGTGCTGCGGAGGTCAGAAGGGAGCTTCGGATTCCTCTGGAACTGGAGCTAAGGACAGTTCGTAGCTGCCATGTGAGTGCTGGGAATTGAACCCTGGTCCTCTGCAAGAGCAGTCAGTGCTCTTAACCACTGAGCCATCTCTCCTGACCCTTATTTATTATTTTTATTTTATGTCTATGTATGTATTGCCTGCATGTGTGTAAGTGTACTTGTGCTGTGCAGTGCCCGCGGAGGTCAGAAGAAGGTGTCGGATCCTCTGGAACTGGAGTTAAGGACAGTTGTTAGTTGCCATATGGGTGCTGGGATTCAAACCTGGGTCTTCTGCAAGAACAGCCAGTGTTCTTAACCCCTGAGCCATCGCTCCAGCCCCTAAAGGATAAATTTTAAAGTAGATTGCTTTGGTCTGCTTCCAGAGAATTGTCAGTAGGATGAGGGCTCCCGTTTTGCTGTTCTACTGGGTTTTAAAGGAAACAGCAGTCTGCATTCCTTCATCGGGTCATTGCTCTCTGCTCCTCTCTGACAGACCTTTGCTATGGCAGAGGAGTACCATCGCGAGTCAATGTTGGTCGAGTGGGAGCAAGTGAAACAGCGAATTCTGCACACACTGCTGGCATCAGGAGAGGATGCCCTTGGCTTTACTCAAGAAAGTGAGGTAGGTTGACTCCGATAATCCATTATTAATTAAAATGTAAAGCCAGCGAATGCTTGGCTGCTTGACTTAGTGGTGGTCTGGCACAGCTGGTCACCATTTTCCCCACAAAATCATTTCATCTCTGGACTTTGAGATACCTGGATTTCCTTCAGCATACCTGGCTGCTTCTGTTTGGCATCTTCGTTGAGGTATCACATTCTCAGACCTATAGATAGATGTTTGCATGTCACAGGGCTGGGTCCATGACCTTGCCTTTTTTCCCTTTCAGTTAACTACCATGTTGGTTTATTTGGTTTTATGGATTTAAATGCCATTGACATGCTGAAAGTTCTCAAATTTCACCTGCACCCTAAATCCCATACCTATTGATCTGGTGGCTCTCTTTCATGTCTAATAGTCATTTCAAACTAAATATACCCCCTCAACTGGCCTTCCTTTTGGACAGAGGTCCCCTTACTTATAACAACCGTTCCAGTTTTTCACTTGCCCAAATCAGTGATGGCAAACTGCGTTTTTGTCCTCTAGTGTCTTGTACCCATCTTCACATGCTGATGGATCCAGTTAGCCCTGCCCAGAAGATCCACTCAGAACCCACCTTCTCTGTTAGCTCTCTGCTGAACCACTCTCATCTTACTCAGGTTACTGAGCTAGTGTCCTATCTGGTGGCTTTAATTGTATATCACTTTGTAACAAATATTTTATGGAAGCATGCCTTTAGCTTGGCTGAGTATTTATGGCTTGGTCTTTTGAGGCTGCAGTGAAGGTTTTGAGAAACCCAAGTCCTTTCTGGCTCTTGCTTGGAGACATCAACTCCTTGTCAAATATGCTGATGAGACATGAAAGCCTGTTTCCCCTCACAAGCATTATCTTCTAGTAATAGCCTGTCACCTTGCCTGGTTGACAGCAAGCCACTAAATCTAGCCTACATTTGAGGGGAAAAGACTACAGAGGGCTTGAATACAAGAGCTGATTGGTGAGGCCGTTTAATAGACTGCCTGCCACTCTGGTCTCACTGTTTGCCTTTATACTCCACTGCAGTTTGAACCCAGAAGCCAGAGTGAGCCTCTGAGACAGGTGATTTCTGTTGTTGCTTTGCTTAGAACCCTCTGTTACACTCTTCCTACTTGGAGTGAAAGCAAAAGTCTTCGTGCTGAACTGTGTGGTCTTACTGCCTAAGGTTGTCCTGTTACTCCCTCTGCTCTTGATGCTTTACAGGTTCACTACAGGCAGCTTCTATAGCCCGAGAGACTTGCTGCTACCCAGGTCCTCTCTGCTTCCTGCTGCTTCTGCCCACGTTGCTGTGCCTTCAATAACTACATGGCTATCTCTCTCACTTCCTTCCAGTATTGACACAGAGGCATTTTGGACCTTCTAGGGCCTTGACTTCTGACACAGAAACCAGACTGTTCTCATTCAATACTTCGTCTGTACCTTCTTAATGCTTTGCTTTTAGCACTTGCTGTAGTGTATGCTTTATATCTTATATTGTCTGTTTTGCAGAGCAGATTGTAAATTCCATGGAGTTAAAGATTTTTTTGTTGTTTATTCCTATACATCCAGTGCCTAGACCAGTTTCTGGAACATAGTAGATGCTCAAGGATTATTTGTTGAATGAATAACTTTGTACTAACAGAAGAATCTGAGATGTGTTGAAAAATGTGGTTTTTTAGTGAATATATTACTCTTCATTGCCAAAGTTGATTGGTAGTTGTGCTAAATTGAGATCCACCCCCTTCTTTAATTAAAAAAATAAAGATGATTTCAAGAGTTGGCTCAGCGGTTAAGAGTACTGGTTGTTCTTGCAGAAGACCCGGGTTAGAATCCCAGCACCCACATGGTAACTAACAACCATCTGTAACTGTAACTGTAACTGTATATTCTTATCCCTGTACCTTCAGTTCTAGGGGACCTGACCCCTTCTTCTGTCCTCCACGGGCATTTCATGACATGGGTGCACATAAACACATGCAGGCATTACACTCATACACATAAAATAAAAATAAACAATTTTTTTTTTTTTTTTTGGTCTTATTGAGACCGTCTCCCTATAGCACCAGCTGGCCTGGAACTCACTATATAGACCAGGCTGAAACTCATAGAGATCTGCCTGCCTCTGCCTCCCAAGTGCTGGGATTAAAGGCATGCACCACCATGCCTGGCAATAAAAAATATTTTTAAAAAAGACAATATAGTGCCAGGCGTGGTGGCGCACGCCTTTAATCCTAGCACTCGGGAGGCAGAGGCAGGTGGATCTCTGTGAGTTCAAGGCTAGCCTGGTCTACATAGTGAGTTCCAGGCCAGCTGGGGCTACTGGGAGACCTTGTTTCAAAAAAGACCAAAGAAAAAGACATTATAGTTACATGATTCAAATATCAAATCACCCTGTCTCCAGATATCCTGTCCCCCTTTGTAGTCCATGGGCCTTAATTGTCACTACTTTCACACACGTGTGTCTAGCATTTCTTTGTACAAGTGTGTCAGCAGACTGTATACTCTTACCCTGTACCTTCTTACACAAAATTAGCTGAATGTTCTGTTCTGCATCTTCTTTGTCTCAGTGCATGCTGGAGATCTTTCCTGCAAGAAATTTTAGGGCTGCATCTAGGTCTTGCTTGATTAGCCATGTCTGCTCTTGTGCCTGCTGTGCATTCACCATAAGGTAAGGTAATTTGGAGATAGATGTTTAAAACTTTTATTAAGTCTTTTTCCCAAAATTTGTTTCATGGGTACTTACTAGTCTTTTTTTTAAGACAAGATTTCACTGTGTAGCCCAGGCTATCCTCAAACTTGCAATCTTCTGGCCTCATCATCTCAAGTACTAGATTTATAGGTATATATTCACACATCCACTTAAGGTAGCTACCATCCTTCATGTATTTTGAACTAGAGAAGGAAGTTCAGGCTCAGAGAGGTGTAGCATGCTGGCATGACCCAGAATTGTTGTCCTCTGAGTCCTGGCTGTACTGAAGCCTGGGTCAAGGATGGGTGGAGTGGCAATCTGTGGGCCCTGCAAGGTAATTTTTGATGTACTACATCTGCACATCTGCTCCTGATTTAAAAAACAATTTCTTTGTTCTGTTAGTCCCCAGATAAATAGATGCTGAAATCTGGGTATCTTGGGAAATTGCCCCTTAAGGACCTTGTCCCCTATTTCTTAGACTCAAAGACTTTAGACTGAAAAGAGAGTCTTTGAGAAAGAAGAGCGAATGTATGAGACCCTTGGCCAACCTAATGTTCTCTGAATCTGAGCAAATAATTAGAACGTGGTTTTATAAACTTCATTTTTAAAAAATGGTGTTAATAGGTTGCACTCTGTATAGGGATTTGGAAGTAATTATAAATTGCAAATGACGTGTTTTTCCTTAATTGCTCTTCTCTCAAAAATAGACTATCCCATTCAGTAGGTGCTTCTTCCATGACCTCCAGGCCCCTTGGAGAAACGTTATCTGTGCTTGTCTGTTCTCTGTTGGAACTCTTGGCAGAGCAAATAACATTGCTGTAAGAGTTGGCAGGTGATGCACACAGCCTCTGCAGTTTACCCAGAGAATTGCCATTTTCTAGAAATGTGTGGGAAGGTTTTTTGATTGTTTACCTAGTTTTTTTAATGTATTTTATTCTTTGAGAATTTCATACATGGATACAATGTATTTCTTCGTTGTTTTTTAAATTCTTCATAGTTTATAATCAAGGTAGGGGAAATAGAGTAGCTGACAAAGGCGAACATCCAGCACCCCGTTCTGCTCTGTGGCTCTGTGGCCCACCATTCCAGGATTGCTTTGGTGCCCCACCCACAGTCTCCATTAGCTTTCACCCATGTCTTGTGGGCCCACAGTCTTGCCCCAGGTCTGTAAATGCCCCCTTTCGCATCCATGTGGGTGAGACACTGGGGCCATTCACCACCCCCCTCACTGCTGCTTCTGTCCAAGATGGTGCCAACACTCCTCCCTCTGCTACTAACTCTCCGCAGCTCCCTCTCCATAGCTAACTCTCTGCAGCCAATGCTCCACAGCAGTCCCTGCCCCGCAGAGGAATAAGTGCCCCTCAGGGCACCCTCCACCCATTCCTCTGGCTCTTACAATCTTCCCGCCAATCTTCCACTAAGGTCCCTGAGGGGGTAACAGACGTAGGGCGATCTTTTTTGTTATCATGGTGAGATGGTGACTTGTTGGGCCTCCTAATTATTCATCTTCAAGCCATGGTTATTGATCTATCTCAGTGGTGTTCCTTCTACTATAAAAACAAATGGAAGGAAATAGACACATCTAAACAAACATGAATGTAAATACAAATGCCTAAAGGATATCCCAGTAGGTGTACTATATTCATTAAACAGTATACTTGTAATGGCCTCCCCCGCTAGGGCCTGTAGCCTTCCTCGACACAAGGAGTTGGCCTGGTCTACAGCACCAGATGTATGTTCCACCCCCTAGGAGCTGGCCTTATCCAATTAGAAATTTGTCAGTTGTACATATGTTAGTCATTATTGCACTTGCAGGCATTGCTTGGCATGTCCATAGTGTGCAGCACCCAGGGTCCATTGTTGAGTAGAATCATAGGGGATACTTTCTTCCCCAACCATCTGCATAGCACCTTCTGGTACTGTGAACATCATCCATCCAGTGGCATGGAGTGTTTGGCTTAGTCTCAGCTCCATCTTTTCTTTGCCTCCTGCACTCACATTATGCAGTGTCTTCAGCAGCATGGCCTTACCGACCTTTCTAGTGTACAGCCGTCATTAGTGGCAATAGCTTTGGTGAATTTGAGGAACTCTAGGATCTCTCTGTGACCAGCAGCTCATTGGGGGGCAACCCACCCTTGGGACTGTAGATTTTCTTAGCAGTTGTATAGTTTGGGAGCCTCTGTTTTTATCTTACCCAACCATAAAATTCCCAAGAATCTTAAATCTATAGATGGCCTTTGTTTCTTCAGGTATCTTTCAAATGGGTTTCACATCTGTAAAACACTCAAAGGAAAGTTAACATCATATATTAAATCAATCA